GATTCATCACGAGCTAAAATAATATAATATATAAATTCAGAAATATAACTCCTTGAATTTTATAAGCGGTTTGTGATCACAGAACTGACTACTTCATAACTCTTTCTTTCCCCAGTAATCATTGTTATGATGTAAAATGCTTAAAGTAATATCTAACAGTATAAAAAGCGGTTAGAAGACAATTTTAAAAATGTTTTATTTACAAAGAATGATTTTGTAACCGTAATATTTATATACTTCATGTATAAACTGTAGCCAGTGTAAAACAGGACAATGGAAAAATTTTCTGTGTTACACTTGAATGTTTTGGCTCTTAAAAAAATGTAACTGAAGCAAAGTCTTGTGCACTGTCAAGCTTTCTATCTAAAGATCATGACTTAACTTTATAGAATATATTAGTGTTTCCCAAAGTGTGGTACGCATACCCCTAGGGGTACGGGAACAGTTTAGCGGGGGTACGCGTTCTTAAGCGAAATATCTTGCAACAGACGATAATTTCAAAATTTTTCTTTTAGAAACAAAGCTAGCCATGAAAATTTACAATTACATATTTTCTATTGGCAATTTTTTGCAGAATTAACTGTTATAGTGGTGTTAAAAACAAGTTGTGATTTTTAACTTTTGTGCAATTTTTTTTATCACAGCAAAAATAATATCATCCTTCTCACTGATGCAAATAAACTTCGAACCAAAAATGAAAAATAAACATATTTTTAAAAAAATACATTCATTTTTTTATTAGTGGTATCCAGTGGTGTTACGAAAAATTTAGAAAGGGTACACAAAAGTCATTAGTTTTGGAAACACTGGATTATATTAATACCGTATGACTTTAATAATCCCTACAATTGAATAAAACAATAAAATGCAGTGCTATGAATACCACTTGTAAATTACAAAAATAAATAAATAAAAATGTTTACCAGCGAGAATAACATCACCATCAAATTTAGAACACAAAGCTCGTACAATAGCCTTTCCTATACCTTTATTGCTCCCAGTCACCTGAAAATTAAGACAATGCCATAAATAACCATAAATAAAATTAAAAGAAAAATATATACAAAACTAAAGGTGAAAAATTTGACATTTTTTGAAGGAATAAGGAAACAAATTTCATGTAGCAATTACAAAAAAAGCAATTATTTTTTTGCAGAAATATAAAGAGATAAAAATCAAAGAAACAATACGTACAACAGCTACTCTTTGGGCCATTTTCTTCGAAATTTGATTCAAAATTCACACTACAAAAACCAAGAATTTAAGTCCTATAGTATAGCAGACAGTTTAAGCCAGCTTTCAAGCCGAAGTTCACGGGTCGCACAGTAGGAAAAGTTTAATAAAAGTATAACTTTCTTTCATTACTAAACTGCATTTATATTTGAAAACTGAAAAATCCTAATAAACCAAGTCGTTGAAAAAAATAACGAGGTGCAGAAAACAATTAGCATGTTAAGATCGCTTATAACCTTCATTCGTTAAGAGTTATGTTCGATTTAAGTTTATTTCGAACTAGAGCTTCGCAATCTGTTTAATCGGATTTACTGAATACTAAAATTCTGCCAAGGTCTTATTGAGGCAGTCAAGGACATTTTGTTATCTGTGGGAGATTAGAAATATTTGTTTAATTAAATAGTAGCTGCATGTGTATCTTCATTTTCGAGGGAATTTCCTTCCTGCAACTTCAAGTTCATTAATTTCGGGCAGAGCCGTTTTTAAGGATGGGCCCAGCGCCCTGAGTTGTGATAGGGACAGGGACCCCGAAAAGTTTAAAATCTCATTGCATTGCCATTTTTTTTTTAAATTTTTTTCTTCTAATTAATGTATTATTTATAAATTAAGAGGGCACCCAGATCCCACATTTTTTCTTCTTTTTTTTAAAGTTTTACTCGGAGCTGGGGCCCTCGGAAGCCTATAAAACATTTTTTTTCTTTTTTACACCGTCGGACGCTTTTCAAAATATAACCAAATGTGCAATAAACGCTCTTTCCACTGATGAAAATATCCCCACTTTCGTAGCTACCACCCACAGAGTTGTCAAATAGCCTCCTTACTTTACAATTTGGGAAAAAGTTTTTAGCTTCTTTATATTGCCTCGGGCTCTTTCCTAACTCCGGAAACATCAGATAGCCACAGAAACACCCTTTTGTCTGATCATAAATTGCTTTGAACAAAAAATTTCTAGGGCAGTAAATAGGGGAAGGGTCTTGTTCTTTCTGGGGGTGATTTCTTTGGGTCAATCTGTCTTGAGATTTCTGTTGTGCCACATACGTTATCGTTAAATTGGTTCTAGCTCAATTCTGATTTATCTTTCTTACAAAATTTAGATATTTTTTCTAATTTATTATAAAAGCCTTTGTTTCCGCGTTAATCATTCTAAATGTTTCAACTAGCCTAATTGTTTAATTTACTTAATAATTGTAATTGATTTCCTTTTGTTATTTTCCGAAATAATCGTACATAAATCCGTGAACTAGGAATTTTTAAATCAAATTTTCGCAGGATATTAAGAAGACTTAAATTTTTCACCTTTGGAGGTAAGCAAATGTTTTTATTAAATCAACTTAGGTTGTGGTTAGGGAAAACATGGATGGTTTGCGCAGTGTTCTATATGTACATTTTTTAACTTAATTACATAATATATTATAAGTCAAATATAATAGCTATAGCTATTATATTTGACCCTTGTGCTTACATCAATATTTCTAACTTAAATTCGAAACTTTGTCAAATTAAAAAATATGTTTTATAAATAATTTTTAAGAGCTGAAAAAAGGATGAGTATTTAAAGAACCAACAAAGCAAATTAATAAATGTATAAAAAATTTAATAAGTTTGTTTAAAGATACATAAATTTAATAGTTATTTACTGATGACAAGTAAGAAATCGGAAGCAACATTGTTAAAATAAAATGAATTATTAAGATTGATTCAGTAATTTGAACTATATGGAGAGAAATATATCTTATTTATTTAGTTTTTTATTTACAATATTTTGTGATTTTTTGTTTATTTATTTAAATAGCGGGCCACTATTCAATTTCCTCTTCGGCAGGCGGATCTGCCAAAATTGTTGATTCGGTGTTTTCTGGATGAAATTGAGATAGCAAATATGATTTTATTTTAATTTTACTTACTGCTAATAGACAGAAACATATGATTTTGTTTGATAGAGCATTGAAATCAAATGATCATCAGCTAAACAAATGTTTAAACATAAGAAAAAAATTGTTTAAACCTCCTGTATGACCAAATTTTCCATGTTTCCCCTAAATATGAAATATGTTTAATTTGTAATATTATATTTCGCCCACAAAATGAATTTATTTAGTTAGTTAGCTTATTTTATTATTTATTGATCATATTTTTTTCTATTTTTAACTCCTTGATTTTTTTGTTATCATGCGTTTGAAGTTAATAATGCTTCTAAATTTTTTAATTAAATAAAGCTTTTAAATTTTTCAATCAAAGTCGAAAAAACTTCTTAAAATTTTAAATCGGAACAATATATAAAATTTTGACAGCTTTGTTTTTATCTTAAACATGTGCATTTAAAGAAAAAAATATAAATTACTGGATAAAATAAAAAACTTCGTTGTTATATCATCTTTTGAACAATTTGAGTATTAATAAATAATTTAAAAATAAGCAAATTTTTAGTTTAAAAGGTAAAAAAGTTTTTTCATTTGTTTAAAAGGTAATTATGCTCCATCATGAGACAATTTAATATCTGTTCCTGAGGATCAGAATTCTTTTTCATTTTACTTTAATATTGTAAAAATGATATATTTAATACTTTCATGTGATATGCTGCAGTTTTAAGTACCTAAAAAATGACTGAAATTGTCAATTCAAAAAACAATTAATACTTTTGAACATAAATTTAAATAACTCCACGCGTTTTGTTTTGCTATCTCATTTTATATTTTTGCAGTATTTAGAGCAGCCAATAACTTGTGGGTGTGTAGATGATATAAGTAAAAGAGGCATATATAAAAAAAAACTAATTCAATTTCAGTTGATGCCCTCAATATTATATTTTTAAACTTCCCTCAAAAATGTAGTAAAAAAATAATTGTCGCAAACAAATTTAATGTTAAGTAAGAACGAAACAAAAATGATATTGAAATATGCTGAATCACTAGTGAGACAGGAGGGATGAAAGACATCAAAACCAATTTGACTGAATAGTAAAACTAGTGCTAGAAATAGAACATTTCAAGCACTTTTTTTAAATACAAGTTAGGACAATTGAGCGTAAACGGCACGTATGAAATAGTGAAAAACATTAATCTCGAAGATACATTTCCAAACATTGAAATATCAATTAAAAAATTTTTTGTTCCTTTATGATAACTAATTGTAGTAGCGAAGGTTCATTCTCCAGACTAAAATTAATAAATAATGAGTTAAATAGTATGACTCAAGAAAGATTGAGTCATTTGTCAATTATGAGCATTGAATATGATGTCTTACAGGAAATTTATTTTGACGATGTGATAGAAGCCTCTCGAAAGGCGCGAAAAGTATTGTTATCTTAGATTTTCGATAAAAATAATGTATATAAGCTTTTATAATTAATTTATATGTTTTTTACTCTTACAATGAAATAATTTTTAAAAATTATTAAAAAATAAATTTTTTTTCGCTAAATTTACTTATAAAGGACTCCCAAATAATGACAGGCCCATAACCATAAAAACGGCCCGGAGTCTATATATTTTTATATCCGATTTCGTAACTTAATTCCCTTTAAATAATAAATTAGTCATAATCATAATCTACAAAAAGCGTACTATTAAAATCACCTTCTATTAAATCCCCTCAACGAACAGTTTCTGTTTGTTGACTATACATAACAAAAATGACTTTCTAAATATGATTTTAAAATTATTTGTGTGGGCACACATATAATGCTATGTATATATTTTACTGAAATTAAATTGTAAACTGGTATCTATTATTTAAAAGTTTTAAAACATAAGAATCTGTACACAAACTTATTGCAAACTCATTTATTAAAAATATAAAAATAATTAAGTACAAATGCATAATTATGATTTCATTTGGTTTGAAGGAAACATATAATTCTGAATATGATACGAGATTTTCTGGACATCGATTTTCAACTTTGTTATCCAGTCAATCAAATTTTCCATCTTATGCTTTCAACTGAAATGAAATACTGTTTGAGATAATTTACACCAGTAACAAATAGAAAGAAAATACAATTATTAAATATAGCTTAATGTTATAAGATGATTCTGCAGTTAACACTAACCTTAGATAACTAAACTTAAATCCTTTTAGCAAATTATTCAACTGACAGACCATTCAGCGATTATTTTTATATTTTCGTTATTTATATCAAACAGATTAACAACAATTTAAGGGACACTTCTCTAAAATTTTTTTACAATTAAAATATGCATAGGTAACGTTTTCTTCAATAACGTTAAAGTGTTATAATAACATCTAAACTTGCTAAAACAAGTCTGTTTGACTATGTTTTAGTATGGCTTACACACACAATTCAATTATTTAGATCTATAATTCAAAGTAGCATGATATGCACAATATGCAACACTGTGGTGGGTTTCACATTAAAAAAAATATTAACAGGTTTTTGGCTGTATTATTTTATAGGTTCAAATTTTAGAAATTTAAAATTAGTAGAAAGAAACACGATTGCTTTGTGTCGCACAATTTTGGGCAAAACAAGATTTATTTTATTATTATTAATATTTTTTTGAATTATGGTAACGAGTTTTAGCTTTTTAATTATTTGATTTAATAATATTTAGGTATTTCAAATCAAATTATGATGAAGTGAAGTGATGCAAACCGCGATTGTTCTGGATGTTACAATTTTGCACTTTGTAAAATTCTTTTAATCAATTTATTGTATTTTGATAACTTAATTTTATTATATTCAGAATCTTAAACACTTTGTTTACATAAAATTAGAATATTTTAAAATGGTATTTATTAACGTAATGCGTTTGCGAATGTGTTGCACATGAAATCCGCACAATTGTATTCGGTACAATCTTGTGTACATTTGAAAAATTATGGTGATAATTATCGAAATACAAAATTTCTGATCTTAAGTAAGATCACATACATTAATTTATCGTATATTTAATAATTATCTTAAACGTTTAGTCATTTATTTTGAACATAACCTGTTATTTGAAACAGATAAGTTAATTCCACATTTGTTCAGGCAGAAAAAAAATGTGCGTCGCTCCTGATGGCATGGACTTTCCAAGGAAAAACTTTACTTTTGTAGTTAAATTTTATTGTTGCGGCACATCTCTACAAAATTACGGTATTGCAAATCAATATCTACCTTTATTAGAAGTAAATTTTACTTTTTTTTTATTTCATTACAACCATGTTTTTTTCTCTGTTAATTCATTCAATGATTATTATATTTCGTAAAAAAAAAAAAAANTTGTGTCAATTGAAACGTCAGGGCAACTTTGAACATCAATCACAATGTTAAAAGCAACAGTGAGTCCAGTTATGATGCTTTGAAGAATAAGTTGGGCAATTTTTGTGTCACTTGATATGCCAGGGCAACTTTGAACATCAATCCCAATATTAAAAGCCCACCTCAAGAACAAACTATTAAATATTTAATTCTAAACAGAAAAAAATAGATCTTGAAATTGTACTAAAGAATAAATTTTTGGTTGTTTGTCAGTTTCAAAACATAAACTGTTACATTTAAGTCATGGCATCAACAAAGTTCAACACAATACAATAATTTGCAGTTAAAAGGCCTTTTTTTCCACCCAATCAAACTCAGCTATAGTAGGGGTGGAGACAAAGGTAGAAATTCGAATTTTTTTTTAAACCGCTTTTTGTTTAAATTTCTCAGATAGATTGATGTTGAATATCTTCTCTACTCAACATGCAAAATTCTAGGCCATCACCAATCAGGATTCCAGAAATATAGTATGTGGTATTTCAGATTATCTATAATTTTTTTTTGGTGGAAAAAATTAAACCAATAAAACTTAGCAGAAATTTCAATTCTGAAGCAATGTAGAAATTAAGCAGCAAATTAAAATAAAAATTTAAGAATTAACTTTTATCTTACTTAGGAAACCATGGATTAATTTTTTTGTCTTCAAAGATAAACTCTCCTCGAGGAGATTCCACACCAGGTGGTAATAGAGCACAATATACAGAAGATTCAGCACCTAGTAGGTCAGTAAAACATACATAAATTTTTTTATTTTCTTCTAATTTGGGAACTAGAATAATAAGTGTGATTGTAAAATGACAGACCAGGTAAAATTAATTACCAAAATAGAAAAAAAATAATATTGTAAAATTTAAACCCTGACTAATTAAGTATCTTAAAAGAACATTTTATTCTACCCAATAAATATTGAGTAATAAGCATAATACTAAAATAATAATTGATTTCATAAAAATTAACTGAAATTAAATTTTGTAACAGTAATCAAGTTATTAGTGCGATAGCAGCAATAATTACTTTGTTAATTAAAACATGAAAACGATTTCAGACAGATCAGCACAACCAAAACATAAAAAATAACTCACCTTGAAATTATTAGCTAATCATAATAGCTGTCAAAACAACAATTAATCATTAATCCTAATCGTAACATCTTTGAGAGCTGGTCCCCAAAAGAAAAATATTATGAACATCTACAACACATCGAACTCGTACAATTTGCGCCATTGCGAAAAAACAAAAACAAAGTAAAGTTTCGAAAAGAAACTTACTACTGCGCAGACTCCTACAAAAAATTTTGCTGACATCTCTGAATTAGAATTAAAACAGAATAAATGATATTTAATGAATTAATGTTGCCATCTTTTAAAAGTTACAATTAAGTTTAAAACAATAAATTCAAATAGAAAATTAAATATTAACAAAGGATAAATTTTCTGTATGATGCAATAATACAACTAAACAAGACTGTATTATAAATAAATTAATTTTACAACAAAAAATTTACGCATTTAAAAAAAAAATTAAGTACACAAAGAAAGAGAGAAACTTATTTTAACTTACTTTAATTTACTAATATTTTCAATAAACTGAAGTAAAATAAATTACTCAAAGTGAAGAGAAGAAAAATATTAAACTTTTTTTAGTTGTATTTTACTATTAAAAATAGTAAAAACGCATTAGAAAAAAAAATTAAAAACAATGAAGGAAATAAGTTTACCTTGATCGGGCGTTAAATCACCTTTGTGATAAGTCATATCTGTATCAACATACCCAGGATGAACCTACAAAATTATTAAATATTTACTAAGAATATCAAAAAATTTATAAAGAATTATTAAAAACTTACAAGAAGTTAACCAAGATTTTTTTATAAATTGATAGAATATTTTTTAAAAATAAGTGAAACAGAATCCACATGTTAATATAAATAACTTACTTAATGCATGATATATTTTTGTTCTTAAAATGTCATACTTAATGTTAACAGTTGTATTTTACTATATAGATTATTAAACAAACTATATAGTTTCATTATTTATTAGTTACTAATCTGAACTTATCAGAAATACTGCTATTCAAATTTCCAAAAATTCAGCTATTCTAAAATTATTAAAATATAATATATTTTTTTCAGTTTAATATCTAAAAGTTAAGAAATTATTATTTATTCTTAATGAAACAATGTAAGCTATGTCTACAAGAAATAAATTGGAAATTTTTAAAAACATATTTACAATAATTTATAACACGTTTATAAATTGTCATAAATATGATTTTTAACATAAAGTAAACTATGCATGGTTATAAATTATATGCAATGCATAGTCATTACATGCAAAAATAAGTAACAATTTAAAATAAAATCTTCCCAACTCTATTTTTCAATATTAGACTTCAAAATTGATGAAAAGCATTGTATTTCTCAATCTATTGCTATTAATTTCATTATTAGTTTTGCGAGTTATCACGCCTTTTAAATTATGTTTTCGTTTTAAGTATTATGACAAATTAACACACATTTATGCAATTTTTAAAATACACATTTGAAGATTTCTGTAATAAATGTGAAATTTATACACAAATTGTAACTAATTAAGTGATTACACTATGTAATCTTTTTTCAATTAACATGACATGAGTAGTATGATGGGAATTATTCAAAAAAAAAAATAATAACTCTTCTGCAATTGTATATTTTTAATTTTTACACAGCTTATTGCAACACAAATCTGCACGTTCAAGCTCTCAGATTAGCTGTAATCAAAATAAAGGAGAATTAATCTTTAAAAAGTACTTAGATGATGCAATCGAAGATTCTAAAAGTACTGTGGGGGTAGGAGTTATCGACAATACCAACCTTCTTCCATCAAAAGGTACCCCTTGATTGAATCAAGTTAGCATGTCTTATATACCAGCTAATTGATGTTTAATAATCGTAGTGGTAGTTACGCCACAATACTCCACCACCAGAATTTTATCAGGGATAGAATTCGATGAACGGATACCACTAGTTGCTGTACTTGTAAAAGACAGAGAGAGTTTTATAAAGGTCACCGGGTTTTTGAGTGCTGAATGCGAGAGGTGTATTAACTTCACGGTAGTAGTCGCTCCTGTGTTGCCTTTAGTAGTAGAGTGTATGCAGGCTGACGCTGTCTATAATCGAGACGAGACTGAGCAGCAACAGCATGAGGAGGTGGATAATGTTGCAGTCACAAGTAGCAAGTCAACTGTTCAATGTGGACCATCTAACAAAGTAGGCATTACCAGATCAAAGTGGGCGTTACTGCCAAGATAGGCCTAATCATATCACCAATGTAAGTAACCAATGTGGGGGGAGGAGTTATCGACAATGCCAACCTTCTTCTATCAAAAGGTACCTCTTGATTGAATCAAGTTAGCATGTCTTATATACCAGCGAATTGATGTTTAATAATCGTAGTGGTAGTTACGCCACAGTACCTTCAACTAAATTGAAGAATTGATAAGAATAACTCGAAAAGTAAAGTATTGATAAGAATAACTCTAAAAGTTTCTTCAATCAAAAAATGGGTTCTGCACCTTAAAAAAAAATTATCTGAAACTTGATTTATACATTGTTGAGAAAAATAAAATCGGTTTGGATTACCTTGAATTCAGGAATAATCGGATTCTACAGCATATGCCTTTCTAACTGCAGCAGAGAGTTTCAGAAGACAGAATACTCACTAAGAAAATAAAATTTTAAATGCTCCCTTTAACAAGTGGATTTGAAACGATTCCCAAAAAGAACAATGGATTTGTACATTGTTCTGAGCTTGTAGTGTATTAAAATATAATTCTACAGCATAGGCCTTTCTAACCACAGCAGAGCATTTCAGAAGACAGAATACTCACTAAGAAAATACAATTTTAAATGCTCCCTTTAACAAGTGGATTTGAAACGATTCCTAGAAAAAACAGTGGATTTGTTCATTGCTTACAGATACTGGATTTGTACAATGTTCTGAGCTTGTAGAGGATTAAAATATAATTCTCAATTAACTTCATTTACCATTGTAATTCTAAACAGTTTTAGAGATGAAAGTTCTGTTAAAGACATAGTGTGACTAAAAGACTTTTATGGTTCTTTCACACTCACAATTTAATTGTGAACCATAAAACACCACTTAAGTTGATAATTAAACACCAGTTAGGAGTAAAATTATCTTTTTGGAAATTTTTTGTTTTTGTAGCTATCTTTAAAAGTACTAAGTTGCCAAGGCAAATGACAATGCATTATTATGGAAGAATACTATAGAGGTTATCAACTGTCAAAATAACTTTTTTTAAAAATTTAATAAATTAATAAGAATAGCAAGAATAATGCCTATTTTTTTTAAATAGTATAATAATTTTATCACCAAGTTCACTAATATCTGATTACCAAAAATAAATAAATAAAAAATACAAACATTATAAGAAATTTAAAAACATGAAAATTAAAAACAAAAAGTCATAATATACTTATGGAAAAGCAAGATCACTATTTTTTTTAAAAATTTATATGTGTTATATCAGTTATACACATTACAATCAAACATCAACAAAAAATTTTTTTTAACATTTTGAAACGAAACTTTTTCACATAAACTTACAGTATTAATTACAATATCCATATCAGGATCCTGACTGAATTTGCGATGCTGTATAAATGTAAGAGCATTCACACCATTTTTAGATACTACATATGCAGATTCACCCCAACCTTTCTGAACATTTTCCCCAGCTTTAGCAGCTCTATAATATATGAAAATAGCATATATTAATAAGAGTATATCACAATCGTTGTCTATAAAAGCATATTTTTCAACCAATCTTACAATTACTTTCTAAATAAATATATAGTTTAATTCCTTAAAACAGGAACAGAAACATAGGAAGAATCAATTTGCTAGTAAAATAAGATAGCCTGTTAATACAGAGTAGGCTAAAATTTATCCAAAAATATCTCATAATAGAAATTACATAAATAAGAAAAATATAGTTACTTTTTTCCTAAAAATATAAATTGAAAACAAAAATCAATTTTAAAAAAAATGTATAAAATGAATTGACTACCTTGAACGTAACTAAAATAGGATTAGTTTCACATAGTGCTCAAAACTAGTGCTTTTTTTATTATTAATAAAATGAATAGGAATACAGATTTTTTTTTTTTTTGAAGAGATATTGAAATTTATTGTATGAAAAAAAAATTCCTTACTTTAATATTGCACAAACTAGCTTTTATTATAGGTAAAATGTTAATATGCTAAAAATCCACAGTTAAATAGATCTTCAAATTAATTAACAACCTTAGGTAAATATCAAATAAGTAGATGCAAAAGAAAAATGAAGAACAAAATAATCTTGAATTTAAATAAACAAACTAAGTTATGCAAATTTGCATTCTGAAACTGAATAATTTTAAATAAATAAATTGCAAATTTTGAAAATAATAAAAAAAAAGTAATAATAATAGTAAATAAATACATCTTACTCAACAAACTCATTCATTAATTTGTTAAGTTCTTCTTCAGTTAAAGATTCAGACAAAAATCTTTGTTGCAATTCTTTTCCCGGTATACGATGTAGCTGACCAATAGAACTGCTCACATTTACAACCCTGGAAAAATAAATAAAACCAAATCAATAAAAAAAACTAGAATATTCCTTAAACTGTTTCACCTTAAGAACTAAAGATTGCTTACCTAGCATGTTTTCGCAGTAGAGNTGTAGCTGACCAATAGAACTGCTCACATTTACAACCCTAGAAAAATAAATAAAGCCAAATCAATAAAAAAAACTATAATATTCCTTAAACTGTTTCATTTTAAGAACTAAAGATTGCTTACCTAGCATGTTTTCGCAGTAGAGGAAAAAGTTCATGGCAAACATCCAAAGTAGCAAAGTAATTAATCCTAATTGTGTTAATAGCTTGTTCAGAAAATGGAGCTGCATCATCTTTCTGTTAAAATAAAAATAAAGAAACTTGAATGCAATTATCAAAGTTTTACCCAATATAATATCCAATTTTAAAATACTAAGAAAAAAACAGTTTGCCAAATAAATAAACAACAGTTGTATCAGATAAAAACATATCACACATCAATAATTTAACTTTAAAGTGTCAGACATGTCAGTTTTTTAATTAAGAATTTAATAATCTATAAACCATTTCTACTTTCTATTGTTGTTCAAACAAGTGGAACAATAGACTAATTCCATTGCATTAAAAGTTTGTTAGTTTTATGTCTTCATCATAGATTGGTAAAAAGCCAGTTCTTTACATTTTATGTAAATTTAAATGAGTTTATTCAGCAAACGAATTTAATCAGACGCATTCCTTCAGTTAACTTTTTAAACTTCCCTAACTAACTTGGAATTAATATTCAGACCATAAGATCATATACATACCTATTTTTCTTTTTTTTTCTCCCATTCATTTTGTAGTCTAAAAGTATCCATATAAAAAAATAAATATCACAGTTAAAATGCAACTAACAAGTTTTTTCTTAATAAAAAAAAGGATGAAAAACTTTTGAAGGCTGACAATACTGAAGTATTTATCACAAATTTCATAATAAGGAATCATGTTACAGCTTATAAAAACAATATTAAAATCAATTATGAAGTAATACAGAATGTACCAAAATAAAAAGTTAATTTAAAAACAAATTTAATTTATGACTTTCGTAACAAAAAATAAACATAGATTTAATTTCAAACCAATATAATTGCAAAAAAAAAATATATATATATAAAATTGATTATCATAAATTAAATTTTTAAATAAAAATGAAAAATACAAAAACAGTGCACTGAGAGTTCAATATTCTTCAAAATTAAATATCACTTTAACTGGCCATTTTGCATTATACACAAATAAGTAATATAATAAATGTCATCAGAAATCTTTTTAAAAAACCATAATTTGTACTTAAATTGTGTAATTAACTTGGGCAAAAATACAACAGATTTCAATCAAAACAGAGAATACCTTATATGCAATAGCTGCATTGTTTACTAGAACATCTAAACCACCATAATGATCCTTTAAATATGAGGCTAGTGCTTTGATTGTTTCCTTCTTTGTGATGTCTAGAATATGAAATTTGGGATGCAGACCCTCTTTTTCAAGATCTTTTACAGCTGCCAAGCCTCTGGATTCATCACGAGCTAAAATAATATAATATATAAATTCAGAAATATAACTCCTCGAATTTTATAAGCGGGTTGTGATAACACGACTACTTATTACTCTCTTTTTTCTTCAATAATTATTGTTACAATGTATAAAGTTACATCTAACACTATAAAAAGTGACTAGCACACAATTTTGAAAATATTTTACTTAAAAAGAATGTTTTTGCATTCATGATAGATTACTATTATCTCTATTAGCTGTAGCCAGTGTAAAACAGGACCGAAAAAGTTTTCTGTGCATTTGAATGAATGTTTTGGCTCTTAAAAAATTTAACTGAAACAAAGTCTTGTGCATTGTCAAACTTTTCATCTAAAGATCGTGACTTAACTTTATTGAACATAGCAGTGTTTCCCAAAGTGTGGTATGGGTACCCCCGAGGGGTACGGGAACAGTTTAGCGGAGGTACACATTCTTATGCGAAATATCTTACAACAAACGAAAATTTCAGAAAAATTTATTTAGAAAGAAAGCTAGCCATGAAAATTTACAATTAGGTATTTTCTATTGGCTATTTTTTGTAGAGTTAGCAGTTATAGTGGTGTTAACAGCAAGTTGTGATTTTTAACTCTTATGCAAGTCTTCTTATCACAGCAAAAACAATATCATCTTTTTCACTGATGCAAATAAACTTATTAACAAAACTTTAAACCAAAAAAGAAAAATAAACATAATTTTAAAAAAATACATTCCTTTTTTTTTATTAGTGGTACCCAGCCTTACGAAAAATTTAGAAAGGGTATACAAAAGTCATTAGTTTGGGAAACACTGGATTATAAAAATACCTTATGACTTTAATAATCTCGCCAATTGAATAAAACTATAAAATGCAGTGTTATGAATACCACTCGTAAATTGCAAAAATAAATAAATAAAAATGTTTACCAGTGAGAATAACATCACCACCAAATTTAGAACACAAAGCTCGTACAATAGCCTTTCCTATACCTTTATTGCTCCCAGTCACCTGAAAATTAAGACAATACTATACATAAAATTAAAAGAAAAAAATATGCATATCTAAAGGAGAAAAAATTGAAATTTTTTGAAGGAATAAGGAAACAAATTTTATGTAGCCATTAGAAAAAAAAGCAAGTATTTTTTTGCAGAAATATAAAGAGAAAAGAGAATCAAAGAAACTATACGTACAACAGCAACTCCTTGGGTCATTTTCTTTGAAATTGAATTCAAAATTCACACTACAAAAACCAAGAATTTCAGTCTTAAAGTTTAGCAGACAGTTTAAGCCAGCCTTCAAGCCGAAGTTCGCCGGTCGCACAGGAGGAAAAGCTTAAGTGCTGATTACACTAGGCAACCAAGTGGAGACAATTAAGTTAAGAAACCGGTTTTTGGTTTCTCGTTTGTGATCACACGTTACAACCTTCGCTTGTTCAACCAACTCTGAATAGTCCAATACCAGAATGGCACTTAGTTTGTTTGTATTTTCAATAAACTTTATTGCTAAAACCTCTTTTAATTATCATGGAAGCGATTATTGACGATACATATATCACTAGAATACAAATATCACTAGAATTCCATTTAAAACTAGCCGTAGTTAGAAGATTAAACCAAGTTTAAATTTAATAGTTAAAAATGCAGGATGCGACAGAATCAGCACGTGTACTTTGTTTACTAAATGGAACCGAAACCACTAGTTGCTTTCAACTAGGTTATATTTGAAAACTGAATTATATCCTTCAAATATAAAACATTTATATTTGAAAACTGAAAATTCCGAATAAACCGAGTGATTGAAAAAAAAAACAAGGAGCCGAAAACAATCAGCATGTTACTTTCGCTTGTAACCTTCATTCTTTAAGAGTTACGTTCGATTTACGTTAACTTCGAACTAGAGCTTCGCAATCTGTTTAATCGGATTTACTGAATATTAAAATTCTGCCAAGGTTTTACTAATGCAATGCAGTCAAGGACATCTTATTATCTGAAGAAGATTGCATATATTTGTTTAATTAAATAGTGTCTACCGCTACGATTATTCAATTCTAATTTANAACCAAGTGGAGGCAACTAAGTTAAGAAACCGGTTTTTGGTTTCTCGTTTGTGATCACACGTTACAACCTTCGCTTGTTCAACCAACTCTGAATAGTCCAATACCAGAACGGCACTGGTATTGGACTATTATAGTATATAACAGTCCAATACCAGAACTTATATTTTTCAATAAAGTTTATTGCTAAAAGCTCTTTTAATTATCATGGAAGCGATTATTGATGATACATATATCACTAGAATACATATATCACTAGAATTCCATTTAAAACTAACCATAGTTAGAAGATTAAACCAAGTTTAAATTTAAAAGATAAAAATGCAGGATGCGACAGAATCAGCACGTGTATTTTGTTTATTTAAATGGAACCGAAACCACTAGTTGCTTTCAAGTAGATGGCCTCTAAAAGGTGGCTAAAATGCATTTATATTTGAAAACTGAAAATTCCGAACAAACCAAGTGATTGAAAAAAAAACAAGGAGCCGGAAACAATAAGCATGTTACTTTCGCTTGTAACCTTCATTCTTTAAGAGTTACGTTCGATTTACGTTAACTTCGAACTAGAGATTCGCAATCTGTTTAATCGGATTTACGGAATACTAAAAGTCTGCCAAGGTTTTACTAATGCAATGCAGTCAAGGACATCTTATTATCTGAAGAAGATTACATATATTTGTTTAATTAAATAGTGTCTACCGCTACGATTATTCAATTCTAATTTACCAATATATAAGACATGTCTCCCTACTGTCGCCTGCAGTCATTAAGTTCGTGGATGATCACTTTGATCAGCTAGCGAAGAGACTGAGGATGCGTGGTATCAGTCCTCGTAAAATTATTCCTTAATACAAAGAGTGATCAAATGAAAAGCTCCGAAACGACGTAAAAACGTAACAGTGAAATATTTTCATATTCCGCTATGGGAGAACTTAGCGAGACATCTCGGGATGCGATTGGAGTATCTGACTGGGATCAAAGCATGCGCGGGTGCCCGCATGTGCAGGAGATAGCAGAGGCTCTTATCAAAAGTGGTGTCCAAATGATAAGGCAGTAGGTATGAAGACAGGATGGCGTTCGCGTTTCAAAATTCGCCGATTGAGGAGCAGTGAGGTGTTATTCGATTTCCCCGAGCACAGAAAAACCATTAACTCCGATGTGTACAGTGAGACACTCTGCCGCCTACGCAGGTCCATCAAGAACAAAAGACCGGGGCTGCTCACGGAGGGTGTGGTTCCGCTCCATGATAACGCGAGTCCGCACGTCTCCAGAGTCACAGACATGGAACTGACCAAGTTCAAGTGGGAGACGTTGGACCATCCGTCCTACAGTCCGGACATGTCTCCCTGCGAATTCCATGAGTTAGGTCCACTGAAGAAACACCTGAAAGGGAAACGCTTCAACTCGGACGACGTNAGACCGGGGCTGCTCACGGAGGGTGTGGTTCTGCTCCATGATAACGCGAGTCCGCACGTCTCCAGAGTCACACACATGGAACTGACCAAGTTCAAGTGGGAGACGTTGGACCATCCGTCCTACAGTCCGGACATGTCGCCCTGCGATTTCCACGTGCTTGGTCCACTGAAGAAACACCTGAAAGGGAAGCTCTTTAATTCGGACGACATACTCAAGAACGCTGTGAAGGACTAGGTCTCGTCACGGCCACAGGAATTCTGGGAACAAGGAGAATCCTGCGTCTTGTTCATCTGTGGGATCGTTGTGCTCAGGCCTATGGTGTATATTTTGAATAAAGTCTACATTTGTGCCCACGGTGTCGCACAACCTTTTCCTTTTCATTTGATCACCCCTTGTAGTATGCTTTATTTCATGCGCAGGTAATCGGGGTAAGGGCTAGCACCGCGGGCAAGTATTTCCTACGCAACTGATCGAAATTGTGATGGAGTGTCTTTAGAGCCGTTTTTAAGGATGGGCCCCCTAAAGGTCTAAAATCTCATTGCATTGCTTTTCTTTTATAAATTTTTTTTTCTAACTCCTGTATTATTCGTTACTTAAGAGGGCCCCCAGAGCCCACTTTTCTTAAAGTTTTATTTGAAGTTGGAGCCCTCGGAAGCCTATAATAATTTTTTTCTCTTTCTTTTTTACATTGTCGGACGCTTTTCAAAATCCAAGAGAACTGTTTACAAAAGAGCAATAAAGCACTCCTTCCACTGATGAAAATATCTCCACTTTCGTAGCTACCACCCTCAGAGTTGTCAAATAGCCTCCTCACTTTACACTCTGGGAAAATGTTTTAATTGTCATGGGCTATTGCTTCTTTATATTGTCTTGGGCTCTTTTTTCCTAACTTCGGAAATATCAGATATCCACAGAAACACCCTTTTATCTGATTTTTGGTCATAAATTGCTTGGAACAAAAAATTTCTAGGGCTGTAAATAGGGAAGGGTCTTGTTACTATTTCTTTGGGTTACTCTGTCTTGAAATTTCCGTTGTGTCACATACGTTATCGTTAAATTGGTCCTCGTTCAATTCTAATTTTTCTTTCTTACAAAATTTAGATATTTTTTCTAATTTATTATAAAAGCTTTTTTTTCGCGTTAATCATCCTAAATTTTTCAACTAGCCTAATTGTTTAATTTACTTAATTATTGTAACTGAATTTATTTTGTTATTTTCCGAAATAATCGTACACAGGGTTCCCACTCTATGATGAGATTGAAATTCAAGGACTTTCCAGGACATTTCAAGGACCTCAACAAAATTTTCAAGGACCTTAATCTAAGACCAATTTTAAAAATTATTCTCTTCTATTTTACTAGAAGCAACAATGCTTGTTGTGGCAATAATTAATTTCAAATATAATACCTAAATGCTTTGCCTATATAGAGAGAAGAGAGTATATGTATTATGGACTAAAATTTATATTTTTTTAAAAACAACCCTACTGGTTTTACATATTAATTCACAAAATCATTTTCAGCACAATCTATAACTAATGGTAATGAGGTGTTAATGGTGAAATCCTTTAATCCTGNGTTTCAATTGTGAGCGCATGCGCAAGTCATAACGTGGGTACGACATGAAGTCTGCGTGAATGATTACGTAGCAAACTCCCCATTTTTCGTGAAATGCATGGGATCCACCAGATATCACTGAAGGGGAAAAAAAATTATTCGGAAAAAAAGCACTTTTTAAAAACGCCAGCTGAAAAAAGCACCTTTAAAAGCTTTTAAAAACGAAATCCCCAAAAAAGCACCTTTAAGTACTTTTTACAAACGCTACGCTCCCTGTTAAATTAGAAACTTTGTCAAATCAAAAAAATATGTTTTATAAATAATTTTTAAGAACTAAAAAAGGGATGAGTATTTAATGAACCAACAAAGCAATTAGTAAGTGCATAAAAAATGTAATAATTTTGTTTAAAGGAAAATACATTTAATAGTTATTTACTGATGAAAAGTAAGAAATCGGAAGTAACATTGTTAAAATAAAATGTATATTAAGGTTGATTCAGTAATTTGAACTATTTGGAGAGAAATATATCTTTTTTTATTTTTAATATTTTGTGATTTTTTTGTTTATTTATTTAAATGGCGGGCCACTATTCAATTTCCTCTTCGGCAGGCGGATCTGCCAAAATTGCTGATTCGGTGTATTCTGGATGAAATTGAGATAACAAAAATGATTTTATTTTTAATTTTACTTATTGCTGACAGACAGGAACAACATATGATGTTGTTTGATAGAGCATTGAAATCAAATGATGATCAGCTAAACAAATGCTTAAACATGAGAAAAAAATTGTTTATACCTCCTGTTTTTTTTAGTGTGACCAAATTTTCCATGTTTCCCCTAAATATGAAATATGTTTAATTTGTAATATTATACTTCGTACACAAAATGAATTTATTCAGTTAGTTAGCATATGATTTTATTATTTATTGATCATATTTGTTTCTATTTTTAACTTCTTGATTTTTTTGCTATTATGTGTTTAAAGTTAATAAGGCTACTAAATTTTTTAATTAATAAAGCTTTTAAATGTTTAAATCAAAGTCGAAACTTCTTAAAATTGTAAATCGGAACTATATATGAAATTTTGACAGCTTTGTTCTTATTTTAAACATGTGCATCTAAAGAATAAAATATAAATAAATGACTGGATAAAATAAAAAACTTCGTTGTTATATCGTCGTTTGAACAATTTGAGTATTAATAAATTATTTAAAAATAAGCACATTTTTAGTTTAAATGGTAAAAAAGTTTTTTGATTTGTTTAAAAGGTAATTATGCTCCATCATTCGATCATGAGACTATTTAATATCTGTTCCTAAGGATCAGAATTCTTTTTTATTTTACTTTAAAATTTTAAAAATGATATATTTAATACCTTCATGTGATATGCTGCAGTTTTAAATACCTAAAAAATGACTGAAATTGTCAAATCAAAAAACAATTAATTAATACTTTTCAACATAAATTTAAATAACTCCACACGTTTTGTTTTGCGATCTCATTTTATACTATCGCAGTACTTAGAGCAGACAGTAGCTTGTGTGTAAAAGAGGCATATAAAAAAAGTAATTTAATTTCAGTTAATGCCCTCAATATTATACTTTTAAACTTCTTGCAAAAATGTAGTAAAAATATAATTGTCGCAAACA